GCGCGGCGGGCGCGACAGGCTCGCGGTGTGGTTCGGACCTGCCTGCCACAGCAGCGCCGGCGCGCCCGCCGCGTGCAGCGACGCTGCGACGCCAGCTCCTTGGTCGCGAGGGCCCTCCGCAGCAGCAGGTTCCACCTGCGCGCCGCGCGCATCGCCGTTGGCGCCGGGCACGGCAGCCTGCTCCGCCCATTACTTTCCCTTAATGAGTAATTATTTCCTAACCTGCAGGGCCGACCCACTCACGACTTGCAGCGGCATTCCCTCCCCCAAGTAAATCTCCCAAACTAAAAACAAAACTCCCAAGAATGTAAGCATAGTTGGAATTAAAACGCATAAACATATAGATTGAACGTGTTTCCTTATTAAATGAATCGGGTGTCCAGTTATGTAACACTCGTCCACGTTTCTATGTTTGCCAAGACGTTAAAATGTCGGGCCGTTTTTTCCACTAAACTGACTTCAATCTATTTCATACGAGGATCTGTCGGCTGCGAAAGATATTTCCAATGCACATTTCATCTCGAATGGTCTCTAAGAGATCACTTTAATCGGCTGTGTTGGCTCAGAGGCAGCATTGCCGGTGCTCTACCAGGCTGCTCTGATCGGGTCGAAATGGTTCTAGACACACGGTGGCCGGGGTTGAGACACTAGCCTACAAATTGTGAAGTCGACTTCAGCCACGACTGGTAGAGAATTCTAGCGGACTTATCATAGTTTTCTTATCCGTGAATTCTCTATCAATACCAGACGCGAATGCTGGAAGCGTACCACTAAAGATGGCAAAAAACATTGAAAGATTTAAAACAGTATGTTCGAGTAAACATCATATATTATAAAATATTCTTCATACTGATATATTTGTCCAAAACATCGATTTTTCCAGAAAAAAATTAATGATATTTTAAAAATAAAAATTTCCCAGTATCTATTTTTGTTGGATTGGCGTGAAATCAACGATTCACTTTTACGACTGTCAGTTGTCGTACCTGAAGCAATTTGAAATTTTGACTAAATAGAACATTGATTAGTAAAATGAATATGACAGTCAAATTTAAGCAGAATATACTTCAAGTTAATATTGAATGTTATGTATCACATTAGAAGCAAAAGACATTTAACTTTAGAAAAAGTTCATTCATTTTTAAAACATCGATATTTTTCAACATCGATGTTTTTTGTCGAGATTGTCGACATCGAAAATATTTGGTGATGTATCGATGTTTTTCTTAAAATTCACCATCACTAATAAACGGACGTACGGACCGCGCGCGAGGCTTTCTTCCTGTTCCTTTGCCCTATCCTCACCCCATTACTTATCACACAGTGCATTCGTATACACTATCAGATACATCCGGTAGACCAGTCGTGAGCTTAGAGTTTGTCCCGGCTGTGGGAGATACCTCGTTGGAGAAACACTACTTGCCGTTTGGGGTGTACCCCGGATGTGGAGGATACCATGCCAGGAAACCCACGCAATCCAAACGTGTAAGTTCGGCGCCAAAGCACATTTCACCGGGGCATAAGCACTAGCAACCTTCTCAGTATGTAACATACACTTACACTTACGGTACTAAATAACCCTCCATGAACCCCAGGAACAAACGATCCTCTCGCAGGCGACTCACAAATGCACACCCGATACAACTGAACAACCCAGACACAGTTTATCAATACGATTATAAAAGTTTGCAGCGTCTCTCATTTCGTCTCAAATGTCACCAACACAGACATGGTGTGCGATCGAAAGTGCGCAATAAACAGTCAGCCCTGGCACTGCGAGCGGTGCGCCCCAGCCGTCTGGCACGAGTACATTTGAAAGGGGGAAGCCAACAGTGGAGAGGGCACGTCGGTTGCGCCCTAAATGGTCTCATTCTCGCGGTTGGACCAACCAGAACCGGGGTACTTGTCTACAAAGAATTAGGTACGTTAGTTTGCTGCCTGTTTTATTTCAGGGTTTATGAAAATTACTTGAAATGAAAATTGTGAAACTGTTGTGTCGGCAGGATGCGTGAAGAAGTTCACCGCTTCTAATTCACATTTAGAGTTCAAGTTCATACAGTTTGACTCTTCAGAAAGAAATATTACGATTAATAGAATGTTCAGTAATTGCTAAAGAATGGTGAATATGGAAGACGGAAAGCCATTCATTACAATATTTATTAATAAATATTTAAAGTTCTTGAATTTGTGTTTGTGAAAATATTCATATCTGTATAAATAAAGAAAAAACAATGCAGCCCCCTTAGCCTATTTGTTTAAAGCATTTTCTAAATACAGCTAAAGGTTTTAACTTTCATTGATCTTTTTGTTTTTCTCTAAACTTTCCCATCGCAAAGATAATAATGAAATCTGCGCAAATGCAGCGCAAACATGAAACATGCGCGCAATCATTCACCAGAAAATTCGTCTCTATACCAACTCGCATTACACACAACCGTCGCCTCAACGCGCCATACTCCAACTGGGAGGGCCTCAAAACCCCGATACCAACATCATGAACTGATGCCACTGCCCATAAAATGTGCTAAGCATTTTTGCGAATAATTTTCCTGCGTAGAGAGGATAGTCCACGAGCTTAACCACGCGTACCCTTTGGTTGTAGTTTGGTATCCTGTAACACCCACCTCTATATCTGCTAAGTCACTGCCAAGGAGATTAGATAGTTTAAGATTTGCAAATAATGTAAGCAATGTAATGTAAGAGGTACATTAACAATTTCAGTGACAAGACTAGGGAAAGGGTTACGAACGACTGAAAGTCGCACCGTCGCGGTCGCGTGGTCGGACGCTGCCTGCCACAGCAGCGCCGGCGCGCCCGCCGCGTGCAGCGACGCTGCGACGGCCAGCTCCTGGTCGCGGAGGGCCTCCGGCAGCAGCAGGTTCACCTGCGCGCCGCGCGCATCGCCGTTGGCGCCGGGCACGGCAGCTGCTCCGCCCATTACTTCCCTTAATGAGTAATTATGTTCCTAACCTGCAGGGGCCGACCCACTCGACGACTTGCCAGGCATTCCCTCCCCCCAAGTATCTCCCAAACTACAAAACTCCCAAGAATGTAAGCATAGTTGGAATAAACGCGTAAACATTAGATTGAACTGTTTCCTTATTAAATGAATCGGGTGTCCAGTTATGTAACACTCGTCCACGTTTCTATGTTGCCAAGACGTTAAAATGTCGGGCCGTTTTTCACTAACTGACTTCATCTATCATACGAGGATCTGTCGGCTGCGAATATATATTTCAATGCACATTTCACTCTCGAATGGTCTCTAAGAGATCACGTTTAATTCGCTGTGTTGGCTCAGAGGCAGCATTGCCGGTGGCTCTACAGCTGCTCTGATCGGGGTCGAATGGTTCTAGACACGACGGTGGCGGGGTTGAGACACTAGCTACAAATGTAAGTCGACTTCAGCCACTGACTGGTAGAGAATTCTAGCGGACTTATCAGTAGTTTTTCTTATCCGTGAATTCTCTTATCAATACCAGACGAATGCTGGAGCAGTACACTTAAAGATGGCAAAAAACATTGAAGATTTTAAAACAGTATGTTCGAGTAGAAACATCTATATTATAAAATATTTCCTTCATACTGATATATTTGTCCAGAAACATCGATTTTTCCAGAAAAAAATTAATGATATTTTAAATAAAAAATTTCCAGTATCTATTTTTGTTGATTGCGTGAAATCAACATTCACTTACGACTGTCAGTTGTCGTACCTGAATGCAATTTGAATTTTGACTAAATAGAACATTGATTAGTAAATGAATATGACAGTCAAATTTAAGGCAGAATATACTTCAAGTTAATATTGAAATGTTATGTATCACATTAGAAGCAAGACATTTAACTTTGAAATGTTTCATCATTTTTAAAACATCGATATTTCAACATCGATGTTTTTTGTCGATATTGTCGACATCGAAAACATTTTGGTGATGTATCGATGTTTTTCTTAAATTCACCATCACTAATAAACGGACTACGGACCGCGCGCGATCTTTCTTTCCTGTTCCTTGCCCTATCCTCACCCCTTACTTATACACACAGTGATTCGTATACACTATCAGATACATCGGTAGACCAGTCGTGAGCTTAGAGTTTGTCCCGGCTGGTGGGAGATACCTCGTTGGAGAAACACTACTTGCCGTTTGGGGTGGTACCCCGGATGTGGAGATACCATGCCAGGAAACCCACGCAATCAAACGTGTAAGTCGGCGCCAAAGTCCACATTCACCGGGGATAAGCACAGCAACCTCTCAGTATGTAACATACACTACACTTACGGTACTAATAACCCTCGCAGATGACGTTCTCGCAATCATCAATCAACCGAAATGACGAACGTTACAATAGGATTAAAACTCTCGATTTCGTCAGATTCACCCAAAATGTCGAAGTGGAAATAAAGCAGACTCACTGCGAGCGGTGCGGTCGCAGATTAATT